GATTTCAGTTTCTTTACTTAATACAGATTACAACACATATTTATCGACCAGCTGCTCTCTGCTGAGCACTGTTCTAGTTGCTCACAATTGTGCCAGTGACGTTGAACAAAAGAGGCAAAATCTTGCCTCATGGAGCTTTACACTCTATTGGGAGTAGACAGACTAAGGAACAACATTTTCTTTTAAAAAAAAGTTTTAACACTGTGTTAAATGATGGGGAGAAAAAAAAATATAGCTGCTAAAGGAGATAAGAAATGGTGGGCCACAGGGTACAGTTTTAAGTAGAAGAGTGACTTCAAGTTCTACTTAAAATTGTTCAATGGAGTTCTCACCGAGACAGTCATCTCTGAGAAAGAACTGAAGAAGTGGGGGAGAAAGCCACGTGGCTATCTTGGGGAGGGTATTTTAGGCAGAAGGAAGGGAAAATGCAAGGCTCCGAGGAAAGAACATGCCTGGAGTGTTTAAAGAAAGGCAAATATTCCAAATGGCTGGAGTGGAGGGAGCAAGGGCATGAGTGATAGAAGAAGGCGTGAGAAGCAGGTAGCTCAGATAGGATCCTAGTCACCTTGTAAGGAAGTTTTAAAATATAGCTTTTGCTCAGAATGACATAGGATGTAGCAGAATGAATTGATATAATTTGAATTATATTTTAGTAGAAGTACTCTTTCTGCTCAGCATCTCTATCACATGCAATATGTAAATTTTCTTAAGGACTGATGTCATGGCAGGAACTTCGAGATTGGGGACAGAGCAGGGATGCTGTGGATTGTGTTTTCAGGATGTCATTCACAGGGGAATATTATTCAGCTTTTAAAAAGAAGAAAATCCTGTCGTTTGTGACAATATGGATGAATCCTGAAGGCATTATGCTAAGTGAAATAAGTTGGATAGAAAAAGACAAATACTGTATGATTGCAGTTATATGTGGCATCTAAAAAAAATGCAACTCATTGAAACAGAGAGTAGATTAGGGGTTGGTTGCCTGGGGCAGAGAGTTGTTTGTGGGAGGAAATAGGTGAAAGTGGCCAAAGGGTAAAAACTGTGTTATAAGATCAATATATGATATATTTTGGGGATCTAATGTGTAGCATGGTTAATATAGTTATAACACTGTATTGCTAAGTAGTACTAGAACTTGAAAGTTGCTAAGAGAGTGGACTTTAAAAGTTCTCACTACAAAAAAATAATGGCAACTATATGAGTATGGCTTTGTTAACTAACCCTATTGTAATATACAGTATTTGTGTATCAAATCATCACTGTTATACCTTAAAATTACACACTGCTATATGTCAATTATATCTCTTTCATGCTGATGGCAGGGGGAGAAGAAATTGGCACAGTCTCTAGAAAATGCAGTGTGTAGGTTGTCTGTTTTGTAGAAAGTAATACGCATTTTTAAATATTTAGTAAGTGTTCACTCTTTGTTTAGCCACTTACATTGTTAAAGAATCTTTGTGTTGCATGAAAACCTATCATGGCTGCATAAAAGTAGGAAGACAGTCAAACCAACAGAAGATTTTATTGACAATACACTGGAGTTGTTTTCAGAGTCAGGGACAGGAATCAGGACAGCTCTCAAGAACTCAGTAGCAGAAGCACGTAGACCTTTTATCCCAGACTACAGCGCTGCCATTATTGTCACCACTCTGCTCTGCATTCAGTCTGGCCTTGCTGAGCATGTTAAATAATTCTAGGAGACTCTTTCAGGTTCAGCTGGTCAGGCTTTGCAAGGGTATGACCCTCTATACCTGAGTGGCAAGGACCCCAGCAGGGCCACCGAGGACCCGCCTCTGTGTCATGAGGTGACAGAAGCAGTGACAGGGATGCACTAGACTTTTCAACCGGACACTCTTCCACTGGACACTCTGCTCTCCTCTGAGAATAATAAAGCCTCCATAGAATAGCAATGACCTCGTTCATTTTTTTTTTTTTTTTTTTTTTT